GCCGGAGTTGCACTGCCGGTTCTTGCATGCTCTTCTCTTCAACAACTTGGTGGTTCACATGGTATGCAGTTGAGATTAATTTAGTGGGATATGTTATTTTATATGATTGGATGAATATGTGATTGGATTGTAATGTATTGGATGTGTTTAATGCGTTCTGCGTATATGTGATTTTCCATCTGTTTTTAATCATAATTTGGTTGATGTGAAATTTTTTGCACATACATGATAGAAATTGGAAGGCATTTTGCATGCTACTAGTGATGATTTTTTTACACATACATGTGATTAACCTCGCAAAATATTTATTTTAAACATATGTTTCTGTACTAAAAAGGGCACATTTTGAACTTTCGCAGTGGGCACCAAAAAACTCAGGACCGGCCCTGCCAAGTAGGTTTCTAAATTTGAGAGCCCGCTGCTCCAACTTTACCCATCAAACTTGGGTTAAGACGAAGCATCGTCTATTACTCCACTGCATCTTCCTCAAGAGTGGTTAACGAATCAAATGATGGCCGACATATATAGTGAGTGAACCTGCAATGTTCAAATAATTTTTTTTTCTTTGTTTATCAACTTGCTATGCAAGTCACACAACATCACACACGCTAATATATAGAAAACAAACCTCTGAGTCCAGATGCAACTTTGAATACTCTTGATTGCTCATGAAATCCACAATGGTGAGAAGAATGCTATAACCTCTCAGTTCCTTTGGATCACTTCCAGGAGATAAGATGTTCATAAGCGGCAACAATAGGCACAATTTCATTTGAAGTATGTGGTATATATTTTTCTTTAACTTCTGTGGAGTATATTTTTCTATAGGGAGAGTATGTGGATGCAGAGTTTTGATGAAAATGTAGGAAAAGAACGCAGAGCTTTACCTTCACACGCTTTCTACAGTTTATTCTGAATCAAACTGTGAAAAGCATGTTTTCTCTCAAATCCATTTCAATACAATAGGATGCCAACTCAACTACTTCCCTTTTTCATACCTCAGCTTAACAAGATACTCCTAAATTCAAAGATGAAGAAATTATTATGGATACATTTATCTTAGAAAACAAGCAAATAGAACTTAAAATAAAAGAGAGCGGTGGAAAGCTCAATTACAGCTCGTCTGCAGTGCTCAATGTAAGAATTATCATTCTTGTGAAGTCAGTAGCACACCAGCCCACTTATTCTAGTAATATTATTTACTGGAATACCAACAAACTCAAGCATGAGAACAGTGCTACAAGGATCAAGCGAGCTGTTCAACCACTTTGTCTGTACAAAAGCATATCTGCAACCATTCAAGGATGAGAGTGACGTCATAATAAGATGAAAAGGCATGCTTCTCATATTCAAACTATCAAAACATCAGAAAAAAACATCAGTCCAGGAGTTACCTCTCCGATTAAAGGAGAATTATATTCATGCCAGATAGCTGGGCTGGAGCTAGCACCATGCAAAGACAACTAATTGATGCATGTTTAAATCGTTGGCTGTAGATAATCCTATCTTTACAATCCCAGCGTTGCCATCTGCATCAATAAAGCCGAGAAATATGTTAGTCCCATCGTGTTGTCCTGACTGATTGCATAGTTGAATCAAATTGTTACCGAAAGGAAGAACAAATTACACGCAACTGTTCAACTACTTACACTGAAATTTGTAGACGCAGCAGCCAGCCACGAAGTCTAGTACACTGGCATTCTAGCAAGCGGTGCCAATAAGCCATGCTCTCTCCAACCATTGTGTTTGCAGAGAAACATATGTATATGCAGCTACCACAAGATGACAGATGCATTGAAAGATGAGTAAGCATTCCGCCATAGGGAAACCACAGCAGTATATATATATATATACACACACACACAAGTACCTGAGTGGTTGATGTAAGCTAACATCGTTTTCCCTCTGTAATCCTAACTTTACAGTTCAATAGTTTTCTCTCTGGACCGACAAAGTCCCACGCACATTCAATCTTTATATAGCTGTTGACAAGAGCTGAGGTCTAGAGGTCCCTGTCCCGGCAGGAATTGCGAGAGTGGGAGGTGTTGTAAGTCCATTTCCGTCCAAAAGTTTTCAAACTTAGCAGTCCAGAAAATCAGAGCATCATTTGATAATCCTATCTTTACAGGTTTGCTTGCTCGCTGCATCAGTGAAACCGATATATCTGTTAGTCCCATCACACCTACCAGAAGATTACAGTTATGGCGCAAACGGGACAAGTATGAGAAATCATCCAGGGATTTACCTCTTGTCATGCAGGAGAATCATATATATCGACCCCAAGTAGTTCCACAGTATAAGACTAGAAATAATTCAGTCCCCTCGCCACTCTCCTGTAATTTCATCGGAATTAGACTCTGAAACTTGAATTTAAGTAGGAATATTGCTGAGGACAATCAATTTAATAATAAATAAGAAATTACCTGGGTTCGTCTTGAGAGTTGAGAGTTGGAGAGAGTGACATGAAAGCTCACAAGATGTTGACTTCTCCATCTATCTTTACGCAAGGAATGCGAGCTACGTTCTCATACCTCTTCTTCAGATACCTCTTCTTTAAAGAAGGGCACCTCCTGATGTTCAGATAAGAAAGAGATGCCGGAAAACCCTCTTTTGGCAGGAATTTGAGACTCCCGCACCATTCAATTTGTAGCTGTTGAAGAGAAGTGAGGTGCTCAAGTCCCTTTCCGTCCAAAGATTTCAGGTTCCATACAGAAGAGATTTGGAGAGTGTGGAGAGTGGCAGGGAGCAGCTGTTCATTGAGCAACGTCTCCAGCAGATCCTTGCTTTCTCTGGAGACCCGAAATTGCCGAAGACAGACAAGCCCTTGCAATCCCCATTCCACTGAAGGCCTCAGTCTGTTACAGTCACTGATAGATAATGATTGTAGGTTGGGAGGCAAACCCCCTTGTGCAAATGACACCACATTTGGAAGATTGGATATCCACAATTCTTGAAGGGCGGTGAGGGTGTGCATGTGGTCCGGCAACAACTTCAAACTCTTGCATCCAGAGACATAAAAGGAAGTGAGGTTGGGAGTGGGCAATCCCCCGTCGGGAAAAGCGACAAGATTTGGACATGTCTCGATCCGGAGGGAGTTGAGACGGCTGAGGTTTTCATCTGCTCCTCCTTCAACAGAAAGGGATTTCAGATTCCGGCAACTGCATATTTCAAGACATGAAAGTTTGGGGAAAATGCCCAAAGGGAACGACCTCAGAGAATCACAGCTGTTGGATAGACGCAAAGACTGAAGGGAAGTCAATTTGGCCATCATCTCGCATAGGAATTCTAACTTCTTGCAATATGATATACGGAGTGACGTCAGCGTGGTGGGCAGACCATTTGTAGGGAGCGACAAGAGTGAGGAACAGAAAGAAAGAGTCATACTTTGAAGACAATTGCTGTTGCGCACCATTTGCGGCAGCCACTCTTTCCCGCCAACAATATCAATATCAAGCTTCTGAAGAGACGGCAGCGTCTCCATCGACCAATGCAGTACATTAGATCGATAGACCCCAAGGTTCCCCAAGGAAGGAAGATGAGTGGGCAAGTTTCCTCTCAGTTTTGGACATTGGTCTAAAATCAACTCCTTAAGACGAGGAAAGTCCGGACTTTCACCTCCACTTGGACTCGGCAGCCATTCCTCCCACTTTGGCATATACACAAACTCTAGCTTCTCTAAAGATTGAAATGGTTGATTTCCACCATAGAACTCAACACCAACACTGGTAATTGACGTCATCCCTCCTACGTAAAGCTCTTTGAGAGCAGGTAGCCGACCAACTGGTGGCAGTGAACTGCAATCACTACAGCCGCTGAGACGCATCACTTGTAAGTTGGAGAAGGACGAGTCTCCCACCCAATTCGGGAAACTGGTTCCACCATACCACTTGATGGTTAGTTTCACCAAATTTACGGGAGGTTGTAGTCTTTCAAGTACATGTTTCTTTTTCACAAAATCATTGGAAACTTCATAACCCCATGCCAACTCTACCTCATTGAGATCTTTCTTATCCTTCAGCAAGGCATCAATAGCACCGACTACATTTTGTAGATTCAAGATAGAAATTTTTCCTCGTAGGTGCGACAACTCCCTCAGTTCTCCAATGTTTGACCCAGTAGATTTTCCCAATACAAAAGCTGTAAGCGTTCTCAAACTTTTTAATCTACCCATATGCACAGGCATCTCGTTTATGTCAGTTCCACGAATATCAAGATGACGCAAATGAATCAATTTCTTCATGTTTGCAGGCAATTTAACAAGAGAAGAACAACCCAACAATAGCAGAGTTTGTAAATTGTAGAGGCTACACATTGTATCTGGTAACATTTTAATTGTCGTATAAGAGAGATCAATGTAGCGCAAGTGTATGTGGTTACCAATGGAATTTGGTAAGTGATTGATATTTTTATATCTTGACAATGAAAATGCCCGTAAACATTTTTGTGTTGGGAGTAAATCATCTAGAACCTTATTGCTTACATATAGTTCATCATCCCTTGTGTTATCATATGGTGTTAAAGACACTGGAAAGAACGTGTGCAAACACTTCACTCCACCTAATGGCTGAAATTTTGAAGATGTATCAATATTTCCTCTCATATACGAGAAATGGCGAACTCTTTTAGGAACTTCATGCGAATGCTTCTGATCCAATCTAAAACAAAACTCTCTAGACACAAACATAGCCAAGTCATTGATTAGATCATGCATAGTGAAACTTGGTTGATCCAATCTTGGTTTTTGAAATAGTGATCGTGATAACAGTTCATCAAAGTATCTTTCACCAACCTCCTCCATTGCTTTCTCTCTCTCTGATTGTGGAATTAAACCTTCTGCCACCCATAATAGAATAACATTTTCCTTTTCCAATTCATACCCCTTTGGAAAAATTGAGCAATAAGCAAAGCATCGTTTCAAGTAACTTGGAAGATAATGGTAACTCAATCTTAGAGAAGGAAGAACACTATTAGCGTGTGGTAGATCCCAAAGATTGCTATCCAATATGTGATTCCATTCCTTGTAGTCTAGGTTGCAACCTAGGAGACTCCCTAGTGTTTTTGAAGCTAAAGGCAAACCGTTGCACTTGCGTGCAATTTTCTTACCAACTTCTTCCAAGTCTGGATGTGCACTAGATTTTTCATTTCTAAATGCATGTTTTGTCAGTAACAACCAGCAATCATCGTCCGACAATTTTTCCAAGTCATGAGTTGGAATAGTATTGTACACGGTGGATGCAACATGTCTACTCCTTGTTGTTACAATGACTTTACTTCCCTTCGCCCCATAAGTGAAAAGAGTTCGTAGACGATCCCACTCGTCATAGCTCTCATTCCAAAGGTCATCCAGGACAAATAAAAATGTCTTTCCCCTTACTTGCTCCCTTAGTCGAATTTCAAGGGAATTCATATCTGAGATATCCCTTACTTGTTCCCTCCTTACTTGTTCCCTTAGTCGAATTTCAAGGGAATTCATATCTGAGATATCACAAGATTTCTCAGTGATTTGCTCACTAAGGGTCTTAATCACCCTCAAAGCATCATACTGTTCGGAAACACAAACCCAAGCATGAATGTCAAAATGCTCTTTAACCTGTTCATCATTGTAAAGGAGTTGAGCAAGGGTTGTCTTACCAACCCCGCCCATTCCGACTATCGGGACTACAGAAAAATTACTGCTACTTTCATTGTCAGATGGCAGCAGTAGTGTTTTTAACTTTTCTTTATCCGCATCCCTACCATAGGGACAGAATCCTTCCTCAACTACAGAAGTTGTGGGAGTTCTTTGTGAAACCTTGCGCCCAACACCTTCTCTAAGACCAAGGCGATTTCGCTGTTCTGCAAGGTGTTCTAACCTCTGAAATAAATCCTTTATCCTACCATTCATGCCCTTATAATTAAAAGGACTAAGAGAGGTAGAGAGGAAGTTGCACACCTGGGTTTGCTTAGTCTGATCTTTCACCTTGCGACGCAAAGCTTCAGTATCCATCTCATCCACCAGGTCCTGCGCATCGAACACAGCATCTTTGAGTTCATCAAGCCACATCGCCACGGCATCGTTGACAATCTGCTTCTCCTCTGCGTCGTCGAGTACTGCATGAAGTGTCATCAAAGTCACCTTCAGTTTGTCCATGAGCGAATGGTTGAGCCTTCTTGCCCGGAAGAAATCCATGAACTGTCCGGAGGCAATCTTGTCGCACAGCAGCTTGATCGAACCGGAGAGCAAAGCCTCTCCAACCAAAGCCATTTTCTCTTCTTGGCGAAATGTCTAATTTTGAATAAATATTTGAAGTTGAAAAACTGAAAATTCTTTTGAAATTCTAGTGAGTAAATAAGTCAACTCAGATGAAATTCAGGTGAGGAACTTTCAGAGCCTGTTACGATCATCTACAAGCTCAAGTTCATTTGTGTGAAAGAATTGAATTCATCTTGTTTTAGTCAATAATGCAGTGGACCCCGCAAGTTAAGCCTAATGTAAAATATTATGCGTTTTTGTTTGTTTTGTTTGATTTTGTGTGCAAAATATTATGCGTTTTTGTTTGTTTTTTCTCTATCTTAGCAAATCTTTCCCCTCGTTTTCTCCATCTAATCTCTCCTCCTTTTTAGAATTTCTAGTGTCATTGATTAGACTCTCCTTCCTTAATTTTTGTCTGCCTCATTTTCTCCGTCTTAACACATATTCCCCCTCGTTTCTCCGTTTAACCTTTCCTCCTTCTAAAATTTCTAGAGTCGTTGATCAGACTCTCCTTCCTTAATTTTCATCCCCCTTGTTTTCTCTATCTTAACACATCTTCCCCCTCATTTTCTGTAACGACTCGTCTCAAATTTTATGGTATTTATCATTTTTAAAGCGTGAATTGAAGAAAATGCCATTCGAGGCAAAAACACTCACTTTGTTTGGTGTGCCAGTAAGGCCCACCCCTATTTTGGGTTGTCTCCCGGCCCACTCTCATTCCTCCCCCTTTTCTTTCTTCTTTTTCTTTTTCCCCCCGTGGACTTCTCTCTCTAGAACTCTCTCTGCTTTTCTCTCCCTCTCATCTCTGCACTCTTCTTTCCTCTCCGAGCACGAACGCACACACACAAACAAACAGTGACAACACCGCATTTACCACCACTAGCCTTGCCACTCCGGCAAGCACCATCACCATATATGGGCCCTCCCTCCTCCCTTTCTCACCTCTTTTCCATCTCATTTTCTCTCTCTCGATAGTCATTGTTCATCGTATTCCCCAACGAACCACGGCGAGTCCTCGCCATCCCCGACGCAGGTAAGCTCCTAAAATCTTCTAGATCGTGTTTTAGGTTAGATTAGAGTAGTTGGTAAGTGTTAATCGAGTGTTGGATGCAAGAAAACATCTTGGGAAAAATTTCCCTTATTTATGGAAGTTGAAACAATGGCCATTTAGCCACTTTCAGACCCATTTTCCGGCCAACTCCGACCATGTCACGGCCTCCAATGGGTATGTATCGATTCCCTACATTCCTAACTTCATTTAGGTTATTATATCACTGAAATTGGTTGAGAATCAAGCTCGAAATGAGCTTTGAAAGTCGGCCTGAAACCTGCAAAATCCCCAGCCTTGCGAGGAAGGCAAGTACACTTGTACTCGCGGTGCGTGGGTTGTCTTAGGCCAGCGTGTGGAGTGCACGCGCCTCCGCCGCCGTCCACGGCAGCGCCAACAACTTTTCTGGTGACCCATCTCGGCACGTGCAGCGGCACATGGGGGAACCCGAGGTCCCTCCTTCAGTTTTTCGACGTGCCGAATCCGAATCCGAAATTCATTTTCCCAAATTCGATCGTTTTTGTAAAGTTTTATTGAATGGTCTCTATTTATGTTTAAGTGCGTTTGTTGGAAGTGACCTCGTCCTCCCTAGTTCGAGTGGCTCCTCATTTGCGGAATATTTCTGAGTGGACCCCTTCTTAAATTGCATGTTTTTATAAAATATTAGGTTTGCATTCACAAAAAGCATGATTTCATGGTTTTATGTTTTATGCACTATTTATGATTTATCGAATTATGTTTTACAAAACGTTATAAATCATTGGATTTACACGTATGATATATTACGGATTTACAAATATGATTTATTATGGTTTATGAATTGATGCTTTAAGCTTTTGAGCTCCGATGATTTGATATGAGATTTTGAATTACGTTTTCTGTGCTTATCTAGTGGCTTATCATACAACACATACACACAACACGAGTATATAGACGTCTATGGCCTTAGAACACAGTTGAGGATATTTATGACATACTCCCAACTTCACTGGCGAAACCAGTGTCGAACAGCTTCATTAGCCACGGCTAGTGTCGGTGTGTTATGTATATATATGTATTTCTTCTCTGGTGTAACCCAGAGTCGTACAACTTCACCTTCGGGTGATGGGACCCACCACATTTCTTCACTAGCGTAACCCAATGTCGTATAGCTTCACCTTCAAGTGATGGTTATGCCTTCGGGCGATTATGATAACCCTAGTTGAGTACACCATTGATGTGATTTACAGATGTTTTACGGATTTACCTTCAGGCGACTATATTACCATTACTGAGCACTGGTTTTGTAATACCCTGAAAATTTAAAATACATGGTTATGTGGAGTAAATCAAGAATAAATGATTTATGGTTATGAAAAATTTAATTAAGAACTTTTAAAGTTTGTTTTCAGAAATTATTATAATTTACATCGTAAAATTTATTGATAAGTGAAAATGCTCGTAAGGAGATGTGCTGACTTTTGTTAACCTTGTGGTCGTGACACGTTTGACATATAATTTAGTATATTTGAATAATGTTTGTCGCCACGAATGTGTGAGTGCAAATTGGGTGCTAATCGGAATTTCGACGAAGAAGTTGCGGATTTTTAATCTTTTAGTTGATGGGCAATATAGTAAATGGGGGAAAAAGGAGATTGTTCTAGAAGGGAGGAGACCTTTTTCTTCTTCCCGGGGGGGGGAGGAAAGGAAGGAAAAAGGAAGAGTTGTTGTTCTTGTTTCCGTTTTGGGCTCCCCTAAACACAAATCTTATACCTCTTTCCTTTAATCATCGAATTTGACCAATCTTACATCTTAACTCAAGCCCTCGTCGAGCCCATCACGTTTGTCACCTTGATTTTTCCAGAAATCACCAAACAAGGCAGAAGTTCATAGCTTTGTTTACAGGGAGACTTATCAGTGTTCCTCCATGGCAGCCCGAGCCGCTTCTTCTTTCGCTTGGGAAGACACCGAAATAGAGAGATCTGATGCCGCATCAGATGCACCCTTTGCTTTCACAAGGCCAGAAAGGAAGAAAGCATGCTCGAACAGGTGCATGTCCTTCTCCCCATCCATTGGCTTTTCAATTGATTTAAGAAAATCTAAATTTAAGAGAGACTGGAGGTATGCATGCCAATCTTCCTCGTAGATTAATATGATTTATGAAGTAAGCTAGTTATTGTATATGTGTATATGCTTGAATTATGACCACGAAGTTGAAAGCTTGGACGAATTAACGAGTGGCTAGACAATTGTAAAATGGTTGAGATAAATAATTAATTGTAGAATTATGCTTACATTCTTAGTCCAAGAGAATATAACAGAGATGATGATACTCAATAAACTACTTAAACGATGATCACTTGATTCACTTGTTTGAACCTAGTTAGTGATTGTTAGTCACTTGATTGATATATATTCGGAAATGAGTTAAAAATTGAATTTGTGAACTACGAATGGCTTGATCCCTTTGTAGGGTACGTAGGCAGTCTAACGAGATTAGATGCAGCCATAATCAAATAACTGAAATTATTCTTTTCTTGGAATTTGGCTAAGAAAAATAATTTGGGCCTATCTTGATAATTAGCTTCCAAATTAGAAATTTCGGGTTGTTACAGGTTTACACATACATGTTTTACGAATGTTTTTCATGGCATGCTAGAGTTTTCAGAAAACCTACTATGTAGTATTATATGAGTTCTCAAAACATGGGGTTAGTATGTTAAAAAAGAAATCAATTTTCTTATTATTAATTATTAAACTTTGGTTCACTCACCATTTGTTTTGTGCCCCTTTCAAATTTAGAATCGAGGCATGCGATCCAATCGTCAGGGCACTCCCACAACGGTATCTTCGAGTCTTCTTTGTGTATGACCCATTCCTTTGTTTGTACATTTTTATAATATTTCTTCCACTTTATTGTTAATTAGTTGTATGCTCTAAACACGTTTCAGTATTGGCATTTTTTTTTCTAATCACGTATTTTATTTGTATGCATGTTTAAAATGGTTTTGTCACCCTTGAGTGTCGGCCAGCATGAGCCTATCCTGATATTTAGAGATATCAGGTTCGGGGCTTGTCATTTTCTCTGTCTAACCTTTCCTCCTTCTAGAATTTCTAGAGTCATTAATCAGACTCTCATTCCTTAATTTTCGTCCCCCTCGTCATAACTCATTTTCCCCTCGTTTTCTCGGTCTAACCTCTCCTCCTTCTAGAATTTCTAGAGTCATTGATCAGACTCACCTTCCTTGATTTTCATCCCCCTCGTTTTCTCCATCTTAACACATCTTCCCGAGAGATTTTTTCAGTGTGATCGATACACGGGATAATACATCATGTGTCACTATACAAATGGTGGGATACGTGTGCTAAAAAGTTAATAATTTAAAAAATAAAATTTTCCACCACTTCTATTAAAACACGTGGTGTAACACTTGTACTTGCATCACAATGAAAAAATTATCCATCTTCCCCTTGCTTTCTCTATCTAACCTCTGTTGATTATTGACTCAAACATGTAGTCAAAGTCCAAATCTTTGGGCTACTTTTGTGGTCAAAATTGTTGGATGGCATGCTACATGTGGGAAACCAAAATTGGATGCACTTATGCCTAATTCTTTTTGACTTGATGTTAGGCCTTTGGCCATTGATGTCTTTGAGAAGCTTTTCTTTGGCTATAAAAGGAGAGCAAGGTGCAACCCATAAGCATGGAGAAGTAGAGAAGAACAAGGAAGAGAGAAAAATAGCAAGAAGCCATTTGGCATAGAGAAGAATTTTCTCAAATTGTCTTGCTTTGTATTTTTTTGGTTTTCTCTTCCTATTGTAAGTGTGAGAGCTTGGGGTTATTTGGGTCTTTGGGAAATTGAGTGATAAACACTATTGTATGTTCTCATTGATTATAGTGGAATACTCCGTCATCTCCAAACTGGATGTAGGCATTGCCGAACCAGTATAAATGTTGGTGTTCTTGTTGGTGTTAGTTTTTATTCTGTTCTGTCTTACTATTCACTTACAGTCGAATGCCACTTCCGCACAACAAGTGGTACCAGAGCCCAGTTCCGTGAATAGTGTTGGCGCTACAGTTCAGTGAACTGCTACAGTATCTGTGAACAGTATTGTACCTGTGAACAATGCCGTATTTGTGAACAGTGCCGAGTAGATGGCTGGAGATAAAGACGAATCTGTAAAGAAGGGGTCAACATCGTCTTCGTCTACATCCAATAGACATCCAACCACTACTACAAGGTTAGAGGTTGATAAATTCAATGGCTCTAATAATTTTGGTATGTGGCAA